AATTCACTCTAGGCTGATTTGTTTGTTTGGTTTTTAGTTGTTTTTTTTTTTACCGTAATGGGGCAAACGACTAAATCGTAATTGGTCTTAGTGGTGATTGAAATAGCTTGGCTCGTGGACAAAATCTGGCTAATGTCTCGTGACCTCGCGGTTTCGCGGTCTTACGCCCTCAAAACGAAAATTTAATTTAGGCTAAGCCTAGATTTAGATATTCTTTTCCGAAAGCAGCTTTAAAGGAATTTTTAATTCGATTATCACAAAACTGTAATTTGAAATAACAAAATCATTACTATAAAACTTTCTGAAAACTTTTCTTTTTAAAGTGACTGGAATGGGGCGGAGGATATGTTCAAAGAGGTTATAAATCAGTGCTAGAGCTCGCGGCTGTGACGTCACCAAGGTAGAGCAGCAAAAGGCGGCCCCAGCCTGCTCAGCGCACGGTGCCGCCATCTTGGAGAAGATTAGAAACAGCGCTGTCACGCTGCGCATCCCTCGCAACGTCTATAGGTCTTCATATAGTGTGAGCGTTGAGCACACGGTGAGCGCTTAGAGAGAGAGACAGAGAGAGAGAGAGAGAGAGAGAGAGAGAGAGAGAGAGAGAGAGAGAGAGACAGACAGACAGACAGACAGACAGACAGACAGACAGACAGACAGACAGACAGACAGAGAAAGAGACAGACAGACAGACAGAGAGGGGGGAGAAAGTGAGAGAGAGAGGGAGGGGTTAACATGGAAAAAACCCCATTATTATTACTAAAAAGTGACGATGCTCAAATCTCCGCTAAATAAAAGGAAAATTTAGGAAGATCTACTAAAGTTTTGCAGAATGTTCAAACACAAACTTTCACCATACAAAAGACCAAACCTGGGAACACCTGTAATGTGTTCTCGGCACTAGTAGTATAGTGGTAAGTATCTACGCCTGTCACGCGGGAGACCAGGGTTCGATTCCCCGCCAGGGAGGTAATTTTTTTTCTCTTTTTTGTTTTTGATTCTCATTCAATGATGAGTTCGCTTTTTCTTTTATTTATCAGATAGTACCGGAATTGTTAAATACATGTATATAGAATAGAAATAGAACACAGCAGCTCCTGAATCGTTCAGTAAAGATGTTCTCAGTACATGTAACTTTGAGTAGGACTAATTGTGAGACAGCGTGGTGGAATCAGGCTCTCGTCAATTTTTGGGCAGGTTGAGTTTTTGGAATCATCTTATAGCTTGTTCAATTGTTTTTATTTTGGTGCAAAAAATATCCATTTATCTTAAATACAAGTCGAGATATTTGTAAATGAAGGAGGTGGAGGTCACCTGTTTTCAGAGATAAAATTAGTAAGAAAATGGCCGCCAAAGATTAGTTATTTCCTTAGCTTTAGAGTCCGTGGTAACTGAAAATTTACATTCTTTGTGTCTTTAATCAACGTTTTTCAGATGAATGCGCTCAGAAATTAGTTCTTTAATGGGCAAGTTTCGTCACTTTGATTATTTTGACGAGAGCCTGATTCCACCGCGCTGCCTCACAATTGTAGGCTAATGCTTCTCCCCGAAAGACTTCTCAAAATGAATTAAATTCTTGAACTAGAATACCTTCCTAGGCCTATAGCAGTAAACTAACAGAGCAGGTTTTAATTTCTTTTCTCCATAATCTTGTCAAAAACATACTCGTGAGAGAGATCGAGAGAGAGCGAGAGAGGGGGAGAGAGAGAGAGAGCGAGAGAGGGGGAGAGAGACAGAGAGAGAGAGAGAGAGAGAGAGAGAGAGAGAGAGAGAGAGAGAGAGAGAGAGAGAGAGAGAGAGAGAGAGGGAGGGGGAGGGGCACTGTGAATCGAAAAATCTGTACCAGCAATGAAGTTGTGCTTTTTTTAAAAACTGCCTCAAAAAGCGTGTCTTTGAGCTTTGTTGTAGAATGCAAGCTCACAACGGGTTAAAAATATCAGTGACATCTTTTACAATTCATTTATTTGGGATACATCTGACCAACTGTGTTTTTCGTTCTGAACCTTTTGGGAATCTATATATGAGGCAGCGTGGTGGAATCAGGCTCTCGTCAATTTTTGGGAATGTAGAGTTATTGGTATCATCTTAAAGCTTGTTCACTTGTCTTTATGTGGATGAAAAAAATATCTATTTATCTTGAATACAAGTCGAGATATTTGCGAATGAAGGAAGTGGGGTCACCTGTTTTCAGAGGTAAAATTTGTGAGAAAAAGGCTGCCAAAGATTAGTTAGTTCCTTAGCTTAATTAACAGTCCGTGGTAACTGAAAATTTTTTTTCTTTTAGCCTTTAATCAACGTTTTTCAGAAAAATCCACACAAAAACGAGTTTTTTAATGCGCTTGAAAGGTGTTGAGCCAAAGAACAAAAATTTGATAAAATTCACAAACCTGCGGAAAAATGCAAGTTTCTTCACTTTGATTATTTTGATGAGAGCCTGATTCCACCACACTGCCTCACATATATATAACACATACTTATATCATTATTTTGTTGTCTTCCTTTAGGCTGGAAAAACCATTTCTACAAACCCACATGATGAATGCATCTTCTTCCCAAGTTCTGTCCCCGTCGTTTTATGCAAGAAAAATTCCGAAATTATGCAAACTAAGCTCAAAAATGTGATATTATGCGATTCTGTTAATTTTAAAAAGAATGATAAAGGAAAATAATCAGGAATTAAGCAAAAAATGATCAAATTTTCCTAAATTATGCGGGGTGCATAAAACCACGGGGACAGCATGTTGCTCACATATTTTTTTCTTTCAATCTTTTTACTGTCACATTCACGTTCAAGATGAAATCAAACTAGATTCTGGATCAAACACTTAAACTTAAACACACAATGTACAAATATAAGCACAAACTTAATCTTTAGAACGGAGTGCGGAAAGAACAAATCCAAACGAAGTTTTAGTTTGAGTGAGTTTTATGGCACTTGCAACATAATAAGGTCATGTATAAGTGTTGACGAAGAATAGAGGTGTAACAAGAGAGTAACAAGCACAAAAAAGAAGAAAGGGAGAGATAAGAACGAGAGACGTTTGATAGGAAAGAAGGAGAAAACCACGCCAGAGCACTTGCCAACAGCTCACAAATCCCAAAGCAAATAGTACATATATACATCCAAGAGCAATAAATAAAGGAAAGACGAGTCTGGGAGATTAAACAATAGGCTGCACACAACACACATTGCACTTTCAGCATCATCATCTTCATCATGCATCGTCAAGTGCCAGGTCTGCGACAGACATCGGCGACCTTGGTTTTTAATTCATTCCTTTGCTCAGATGCTCTCAAAAAGGCTGCATTATTAATTATCTCGGTCTTCCCCCTATCGGTATACACAAGCATGATGCAACAGTGTTCCATCACATATATAGCAGATCATTTGTTTATTGCCACTTTTCGCACTGGCCCTCGTTCTCCTTGATGAGAACATGATTGGCCTTCAAGGCAGAAGCTAGCCAGAGTGTGACATGTCCTGATCTAAGAAAGCCAAGGCTGACCACAGCTCAGATTAATACGTATGAACATGCCTACTATAGTCCTTACAAAACATGACTATCCTGATCCAAGCAATATTATATATATATACAAGAACATAGCTACCATTATCGAAACAATATAACATGTATACAAGAACATAGCTACCATTATCGAAACAATATATATACAAGAACATGGCTACCATAATTGAAACAATACACATACAAGAACATGGATACCATAATCAAAACAATATATATACAAGAACATGGATACCCAAATCAAAACAATATATATACAAGAACATGGCTACCATAATCAAAACAGTATATATACAAGAACATGGCTACTCTTATCAAAACAATATATATATACAAAAACATGGCTACAATAATCCAAATGATAAGCCTTAAATATACATGAACATGACCATCCCCATTCAAATCCCCTCTTTACAAAACCATGCCCACCTTGATTTATATCAATATATAATATATGTCATGGACAAGAAAACATAAATTTCCTTATTTATGCAAACAACATACACTCTGGCATACACATAGTAAAATCATCAGGACATGGAAATATTTTTGTTACGCATGAATTTCCCTATGTACATGTTTTATTAAGTTTTAAGTTTTAGTAGATGTTTTTGGTGCTCGCAACTGCATAAGGTCATATGAGCGCCATGGGGTGGATGTCAACAGAGAAGTCCTTTCAGGGAATCAGACTTACCATGCTCACCTTTCTAGCTTCAACAGCACAAGGTCTGCTTCGGCTATCAAGGCACCCCGGAAATAGCAGTTCACAAGAGTGTGACAAACATATAAAAAAAGTAGAGGAAAATGACAATAGTAAGGATGAGGAAAGAAAAAGCAGCAGTTCCTTGTTGTAGATCCGGCACAGTTACGAGCGTGATATTGATCTGATGAATCAGCCCATTTACAATTCTACTGTGTATGAACGAGAAATGTCCCCCCTTTGGGAAAGGCCTAAGAACACTTCAGTTAGTGGCACCGCCCCGGGGGGTATGTACATGTTTTATATACAAAGAGAATACATGTAAGAAAAAAATAATTGGGTCTTCAAAATTTGTTTGCTATTTGCTTGATTTATTATGTGCCTCTTCCACAAAGTGCACACTATTTGTGAGGCAACGTGGTGGAATCAGGCTCTCGTCAAAATAATCAAAGTGAAGAAACTTGCATTTTTCCGCAGGTTTGTGAATTTTAATCAAATTTTTATTTTTTGGCTCAACACTTTTCATACCCATTAAAGAACTCATTTCTGTGTGGATTTTTCTGAAAAACGTTGATTAAAGGCACAAAAAATTAAAATTTTCAGTAACCACGGACTCTTAAGCAAAGGAAATAACTCATCTTTGGCCACCATTTCCTCACTAATCTTACCTCTGAAAACAGGTGACCCCCACCTCCTTCTTTCGCAAATATCTCGACTTGTATTCAAGATAAATGGATATTTTTTCCATCCAAATAAAGAGTGGCGAAAAAGCTCTAAGATGATACCAATAACTCTACATGCCCAAAAATTGACGAGAGCCTGATTCCACCACGCTGTCTCACACATTGTTTCCAAGAACGTTTATCCGCATCAAAATCTGTACAGCAACATGCTTCTATGGCAATTATATCACAATCCACATAATCTGTCCTCTTGTTCAGCCTTCTCTGCAGCTGTGACTAGCATGAAATCTACACCATCTTCATCCTCGTCCTCCTCCATCCCCACACCTACGACCCCCTCGTCCAACTCGTCGAAACGACGATCCACGGTACTGATGACCGTATCCTCACCAAGTCGAGATCTCCCGACGGTACGCTGAGCACCACGCTGATTTTCACATTTCGGTGCACGTCTGCTTTCACAGTCGCCCTCACCCTCGCCCACACCCTTTCCAGGATGTTGTCGCTCGCATGATTCTGAGGATGAACTCGCAGGATTATCCCGTCCAATGTGGTTCATGGATGAACTCGCGGGATCATCTCGTCCAATGTGGTTCATGGATGAACTCGCGGGATCATCTCGTCCAATGTGGTTCATGGATGAACTCGTGGGATTATCTCGTCCAACGTGTGTCATTTCCTCCTGGCCATCGGGGATCATTTCCTCGTCAGAAAACTCGTCATCCGACAGGAAGGTCCAAGGGAGACAATGACGGGGTAGATCTTTCTCTGTGATCCAAAAAAATAGAATTATTCCCCCCAGCAGACCTGCTTACATTCTGAAACAATCTCAACTTCCAGGGAAGCATACAGTGCAAGCTGCAATTTTACCAGGGCTAAGACACTAAAATACTGACAACATTTTTATTTACTTACTTATTTATTAATTCAATTATTTATCTATTTACTTTATTTACTTTTATTTACTTTTATTTATTTATTTATTTATTCATTTATTTACTTTTATTTGTTAATTAATTAATTAATTAATTAACTTTCCTTTCTTTCTTTTTTTATTTATCTGCTCTTGCTGTTGAGGATAAAGTACATCTTTATCAAAGGTATTCACAGGATTGATAAAAACATCAAAGATATTTCACTTTGAAGGGGAAACTTGGAACAAGTAGGCCCTGCCAAAGGAGATATTGTGAAGTCCAACGAGGCATCAACTGGAAGCAATGTAGCTATAAGACAATAACTCATCGTTATTCCGCCCGAGCGTACCTTCAGACTTGTATCCCACGGCCTGACAGTCTGGGTCATAACACTTCTGGTAGTACACGGCTCGCCGCAGGTCCACAACGTACCTGGGTGGAGGGGGGGCAAGTGGGAGGGAAAGAAGAAAGATTTCTTAGTGGTTTCAGTTTCAGCAGAAAATTAAAACAATCACATTTTTTTAAAAAAGTATATAATTTTACTGATCCTGGAATTTTGGGCAATTTGACAATGACAATGACAATGACAATCTTTATTCATCTCGCAGGGAGAAATTTGTCTTGGTCGTTAACAATGGCAGTAGACGTTACAAAAGTTAGACTTAAAGGTGCACTCACGCAAACGCACAACAAGACAGGACATTAGGCCAAGTAAATACATGTCTCACGGGCTGGGACAACCCGCTCCGTAACACATTCATTCTCTCTCTCTCTCTCTCTGTTTCATTTGTAGCACTGTGTGTTCAGTAACCTCACTGCAGTTGGTACGAATGAATTTCTATATCTGTCTGTTCTTGCTTTTTTGGAAATGTATCGTTTACTGCGGGTCGATAGTTGAAATTCCGATGTCAGTGGGTGGCTATGGTCACTAAGCATTATTTCCGCCTTTTTTAGAACGTTTGTCTTGTGCAGATATTCAAAGTTACTTAGGTCTCTACCAATTGTTCTTGATGCCTTTTTTATCAACTTATTTAGTTTTATAATGTGCTGCCTTCCCAGATTGCTACCATAGCAAGTGATTCCAAAATATATCAAAGTTTCTATTGTGGTGGTGTAGAAAATCTGAAGGATGGATGGATTCAGATTGAAAGACTTAAGTTTCCTCAGAAAGTACAGCCTCTGATTTACCTTTTTAACATTTTGGTTTACAATGGCAAACATACATACTTACATACATACAAGAAAATACATAATTATAAATACATCTCTCTCTCTCTCTCTTCTGGCGCTGTGGCTTCATAAACGGTCAGCGACGCTGACAGCATGCAGGAACTCAACACTTGCCCGGGGGTCCTCAAAAAGCGCTGAAAGTGGGTTACTGAAATGTCCCAGCAGACGGGTTCTAGCACGATAGCTGGCGGGACATCTCAGGAACACATGGTCCATAGTTTCGTCCTCCTCCTTGCAGGCTCGACAGGACGGATCTAGGTTGTCTGCTGGCGCAATTTTGTGGAGATATGATCTCAGCTTGGGTGATTTTCCACCAGTTCTCATTTTGGAGAGAAGCCGGCGGTCCTGTCGTCTGAGCGAGGCCTCAAGCTGGTATGATGGCGGCTGGGCAAATGGCAGTTTGGGTTTCGCCTCTCTTTTCCACTTTGCGCAGGCCGACCGGTGGAAGACGGCTTTAGCTGTCGAGAAATCGATTGGCGTGTCAATCTGGGTAAGCGCTGTTGCTTCTTTGGCGATGCTGTCAACTTCCTCGTTCCCAGCCAGTCCAGCATGGCCTGGAATCCACTGTAAGTCGATGGAACATTCAGAGCATTGAAAGAGGGTGTGCAGATACTGCCAGATTGAGCATGCCACCTTTTCCGATTGGTTGGTAGGGCCGTATGAGAGGCACATATAAGTACATACACATATATATACGTAGATAAATTGTCAAATACACAATCTCTCTTGCCCTTTTTAACTCCCGGTGGAGCACAGGCCATCAACAGCATTACTCCAGCGAAGCCTGTCCTGAGCATCCTTTTCTATCAGTTTCCATGATGTCCCCGCTTTTTCAATTTCAGCTTGTACCGCTCGCCTCCATGTCATCTTTGGTCTTCCCTTCTTACGTTTTTCTTGTGGGTTCCACGTTAAAGCCTGCCTGATGATGTTTGACGGGGGTCTCCTCAGGGTGTGTCCAATCCATTTCCATTTCTTCACCTGTATGTCTTCCTTTATTGGCCTTTGGCTTGTTCTCTCCCACAGTTGAGCATTAGTGACTCGATCGTACCACTTGATCCCCACTATCCTTCGTAGGCATCCATTTACGAAGCAAATACACAATATTACACCACAATACAGAACAATTTCACAACCATGTCATTCCTGGTTGCCACTGTGCAGCGCCCCGATAATCCGCTGCTCATTGAAAGACTGTTATACATCACTTTATAAAACGGCCTTCTAAGTGGGAGTCTTTCACTAAGAGGTCGAGATTTAAATACGGTACCGGTACATGAGCATTACTGTTACTACGGATCAAACAAATGGAGAACAACCCCAAAAAATTTCCAAAAAACAACCCTTCCCCCCTAAAAAACAAAACAAAAAACCCCCCAAAACAACCAAAAAAAACTCCCCAAAAACAAACAAAAAAACCCAACTACTCCCCCCCCAAACCCCCCCCCCCCCCCCCCCAACATTAGAAAAAAAAGCAAGTGTCTCACATGACGTTGTTGCTGCGGTGCTCCCGCCCCACGTTGCCGCACCAGCGAGAGCCGGCGATGTCGTAGATGAGGCTGTCGGAGCCGGGGAAGTAGGTCCAGTGCCGAATGACTCCGCGTCTGCCGGCCCCCGACACTAGCGACAGGATGAAGTGGTCAGTCTCCACGAACGGAGACAGGCAGCCCCAGCCCTCCATCGTGTCTGGGCAGTTTCAGACAATTAGAATGATAATAATAATAATAATAATAATGAAAATGATAATAACTATTATGATAATAAAAGAAGAAGAAAATAATTATTATGATACTAATAATCATATTAATAATCATAATAAAAATAAAAATAATAATAGCAATAGCGAAATTTATGATAATAATAATAATAAAAGAAGAAGAAAGTAATAATTATAACAATATGATAATAATAATATAATATTAATATTAATAATAATAATAATAATAACAATAATAATAACAATAAAAATGCTAATTAAAAAATGATAATAAAAATAATAAAAGAAGAAAAAGATAATTATAATTATAACAATATGATAATAATATCATATCGTTAATAACAATAATAATGATAATAATAATAATGATAATAATAAAAGAAGAAGATAATAATTATAACAATATGATAATAATAATATAATATTAATAATAATAATAATATAAAAATAATAATGATAATATTACTAATAATAATCATTATTATAATAATTATAGTTATAAAATAATAATAATAATCCTTTAAAAAAATAAAATAATATTACTAAGAACAATAATTATAGTTCAAGTAATAAAATAATAACAACAATGATAACAATGATAATAATAATAATGATGATAATAAGGATAATAATAATAATAATAATAATAATAATAATAATAATAATAATGAAAATAATAATTATAATAATTCCAATTATATTGCGAATACCCATGCTCTACGACAAGCTCTCTTGGTATAAGAAGGAAGAAAGAGAGAAACTTTTAGAGGAAAAGAAATGCTTGCTGCACAGATGACAGAGAAACAGCAACAGCAACAACAACAACAACAACAACATCAACTGCAAGAACAAAAACAAATCAGCTGCAACAACTGTGGCAACAGCAATAACAACAACAAAAACAAATCAGCTACAACAACAACATGTGCAGCGAGGAGCCCCAAGATTTGGAGCACTGACTGCCGAGATGCCCCGCCACGGAGGTCCGGCGGTGGCATCTCTTTGGGGAGGATTCAGGGAGGTTGGACAGCCTCACCCGCTACCCAAGGGAGCTGGTGGCCCTGGCGAAGAGCACGCTCTTCGGGGCTCCAAACATTTCGAACGGATAGGCTACCACACACACACACACAACAACAACAAATCAGCCGCATCAACAACTGTGACAACAGTAATTTAATAACAACAAGAAGATATGTCTTGAAAATCTCCCATTCCAGCCAAATCCCCCTCTGTCTCTCACCTTCCAAATCCCCCTCTCTCTCACCTTGCTTCGACTCTGTGGCCACTTTCCTTGTACTAGACGGCCCGACTCTGAGACCCGATGACGACATCGGAACATTCCGTAGCTCAGCAGGGGCTGAACTCTCAAACTGTAACACTTTGGCACCGGGGGTATGCCTGGGGAAAATGTTGAAATGGTACAGATTTAACACCCTTATCAACACTATTTAGGTTATTTATGAGGTGGGACCTCCCAAGTTTAAAGACCATCTCCGAAAGACGCGGCGACCTCAGTGCTTTCTTGTCATACCTCCATTTTTTGTAACATTGAAAATGTGACTTCTTCTTAATAAGCTCACTCTTTGTTACGAACTGTTTTCACTGTCATTAAAAATGGGGATACAACAAGAAAGCACTGAGGTCACGAAGGACTGAGCCAGACGAGAAATTTGTGTAAAATGTCTTTCCCAAGGGCACAACGTCGGACCGAGCTGAGGCTCAAACCCCCGAACCCGCAATCTCATGATTACGAGTTTGACTACCAACGCCACTGGGGGTATGTATGTCTGGAGAGGTAGAGAGGATGCTGAACGTCTCCACAGAACTGTCCAGGAAATGAATATTTCAATGACAGGTTGCAAGACGGCGACAAACACAGCTTCGCATTTTGGTGTTTGTAGGAGTCTTGCACCCAGCCGTCGATTTCGTCGCCGTGCTAGAAAAATGGCACGTCTCATTTTTTTGGGTACTTTAGAGATAAACGGAGAAAAAAAAGTTGTTGAACTTGGCTAATTATCATCTAATGATGGTAAAACTTAAGGGGAAGACTTCGTGGAACCTGGAGAAGAATCACAGAAATTGATGTACAGAAAAGTGGGAAGACATGGAATAACACCAAGAGGCTAGCCCAGGATAGACAAAGGTGGAAAATGTTTATCCGTGGGCTATACCCTGGTGCAGGGTGAGAAAGGCAATGATGATGATGATGATGATGATGATGATGACGGTAAAACTTGCCATGCATGTTTTTTTTGTGACTGCCAGAGCAATTTTGTTTTGATTTTACCAAAAAGATAAATATAGTACTACCAAACAAAACAAAAGGCTAGTTGCATTTTCCTACACCTCTGAGTTTTGTCATTTTGCTCGCGTAAGAACAATTTGTTCACCAACCTGTCCCCGTCGTATTATGGAAGAAAAATTCTGAAATTATGCAAACTGAGCCCAAAAATGTGAAATTATGCGATTCTGTTAAAATTACCAAACAAAGAATGATAAAGGAAAATAATCAGAAATTATGCAAAAAATGATCAAATTTTGCTAAATTATGCGGGTTGCATAGAACCACGGGGACAGCAACAGCCTAATTTAATCTCGAAGTCCTACAGGACTTTTCACTAGAAGAAATGATTTACAGCACACACATGTTCAGTCACTTTAAAAATAGGAAATCACTTAGAGGCGCTTACTTTTACTGCATTTAAATCTGGTCTAAAACACATTTTATATCATATCCTTATCTTAAGGGCACAGCAATTGTCTTTATGTGAATACGTTCTTTTGTCAGATTACTGGTGTACATGTGTTTGAAAAGATTGTTGGTCATTGGATGGGCCAGTATGAATAAAACGTTTTTACAAGGAAACGTTGATCAAAAACACCAAAATGTAAATTTGCAATTGTTAAGGACATTACAACTTTGAAAGCCACCAAACGTTGACAGCCATTCTCTCAGGAATTCTAAATCTGACTTCCATTCAAAACAGCGGGATACTTTTTTCAATACTTTTTTCCATCAAAAACAAGACAAATGAACAGGCTTCAAGACAATACCAATAATTAAGTAGGCCCAAAAATAGACAAACGCCTGATTCCCCTGTGTCATGACTCATATTGCCTACTGTGCTTCACACCATAAAAATGTCCAAGCCTCCTCCCGCGCTACTTGTTTGACTCACTTACGTGCCAAGAGAGAGATGAGGGAGGCATAGAAGAGAGAGACTCACTTACGTGACGAGAGAGATGAGGGAGGCGTAGAAGAGAGAGACTCACTTACGTGCCAAGAGAGAGATGAGGGAGGCGTAGAAGAGAGAGACTCACTTACGTGCCAAGAGAGAGATGAGGGAGGCGTAGAAGAGAGAGACTCACTTACGTGCCAAGAGAGAGATGGGGGAGGCGTAGAAGAGAGAGACTCACTTACGTGCCAAGAGAGAGATGAGGGAGGCGTAGAAGAGAGAGACTCACTTACGTGCCAAGAGAGAGATGAGGGAGGCATAGAAGAGAGAGACTCACTTACGTGACGAGAGAGATGAGGGAGGCGTAGAAGAGAGAGACTCACTTACGTGCCAAGAGAGAGATGAGGGAGGCATAGAAGAGAGAGACTCACTTACGTGACGAGAGAGATGAGGGAGGCGTAGAAGAGAGAGACTCACTTACGTGCCAAGACAGAGATGAGGGAGGCATAGAAGAGAGAGACTCACTTACGTGCCAAGACAGAGATGAGGGAGGCGTAGAAGAGAGAGACTCATTTACGTGCTGAGAGAGATGAGCGAGGCGTAGAAGAGAGACTCACTTACGTGACGAGAGAGAGATGAGGGAGGCCTAGAAGAGAGAGACTCATTTACGTGCTGAGAGAGATGAGCGAGGCGTAGAAGAGAGAGACTCACTTACGTGACGAGAGAGATGAGCGAGGCGTAGAAGAGAGAGACTCACTTACGTGACGAGAGAGATGAGCGAAGCGTAGAAGAGAGAGACTCACTTACCGGTCGAGAGAGATGAGTGAAGTGTAGAAGAGAGAGACTCACTTACGTGACGAGAGAGATGAGCGAGGCGTAGAAGAGAGAGACTCACTTACGTGACGAGAGAGATGAGCGAAGCGTAGAAGAGAGAGACTCACTTACGTGTCGAGAGAGATGAGTGAAGCGTAGAAGAGAGAGACTCACTTACGTGACGAGAGAGAGATGAGCGAGGCGTAGAAGAGAGAGACTCACTTACGTGCTGAGAGAGATGAGCGAGGCGTAGAAGAGAGAGACTCACTTACGTGACGAGAGAGATGAGCGAGGCGTAGAAGAGAGAGACTCACTTACGTGACGAGAGAGATGAGCGAAGCATAGAAGAGAGAGACTCACTTACCGGTCGAGAGAGATGAGTGAAGCGTAGAAGAGAGAGACTCACTTACGTGACGAGAGAGAGATGAGCGAGGCGTAGAAGAGAGAGACTCACTTACGTGCCAAGACAGAGATGAGCGAAGCGTAGAAGAGAGAGACTCACTTACGTGACGAGAGAGATGAGCGAGGCGTAGAAGAGAGAGACTCACGTGATGAGAGAGAGATGAGCGAGGCGTAGAAGAGAGAGACTCACTTACCTGCCGAGAGAGATGAGCGAGGCGTAGAAGACAGCCTCGTCGACGTCCACATGCTCGGGCGGTCGGAAGGTGTTCTGGCGAGACACGAGCAGTGGGTTCTGCTTCTGGCCCTTGCTGGACAGGAAGAGGCGGAAGTTACGGTTCCTGGTGTACACGGCTGAGCTCCACGCGAAGGAAAAACAAAAACAAAATTGAGAAACCATACATGGCATGGGGCTAATGTCCCTTAACACAGACTACAGAAAAGTAGGTTTTCAGGAAGAACTCCCCCCCCCCCCCCCAACTACCTTCACTAAGTTTAAAATGTTACTGATATATGAGTGTCATTAATAATTTATGCTATTTCATGGAAGCTTCTTCTGTAAAATAATATGTCTGCTTTGTGCGACACAGGCCAATGGCTGTAAGCGCTGAATAAAATACCTACCTACACCATTTACCCACTTACATACCCGACTTTACCCTACCTACCTACCTAACTATCAACCTACGTACCCTACCCACCCACCTTTCTACCTACCCACCCATTCACCCACCTACCTACCTAGCTATCTACCCACAAACTATCCCCCCCCTCCCCCCCTCAACACCTCTCAACTAGCTATCCCCCCCTCTCAACTAGGTATCTCCCCCCCCTCACCTAGATCACAGAACAGCGTGGAGACTCCATCCTTGTTGACAATGAGCAGGGACCGGAGATCTTCTCCGTCGAATTGTTCAAACAGACGGGCAACGTCTGCATCTGTCGGACTGGCTGTCCTACAGCAGTCGCCTCCCTTGACTTGCTCCCCGTCGTCTGCAGCATTTATGTGGTCAGTGTTAGTGCAGTCAGCGCCGATGGACGAGAAAGTGCTCTCCGCCGTCTTGTGCGATCGGCTTGCACGCTGGTGATGATGGCCGGGCGAACGTGTATGTAAACTCGGGAGACTTACGTCAGGGAGATCTACCGGTACAACCCCAAGGCCACATTTCTCCTCGCTCACACACGTCTCACTTCTGCTTCCAGAGTCATCAACTCTGTGCGTCTCACTCTTTTCACTTCCACTACTACAAAATCGTCTGCCATTATCACTATCATAAACATTTACTCTGCTTCCTGGGTCAGCTCTGTGCGTCTCACTCTTTTCACTTCCAGTACTACAAAGTCGCCCACCATTATCATTAACGCTTCCAAAATCAACTCTGTGCGTCTCACTCTTATCACTTCCACCACTACAAAATCGTCCGTCATTATTATTATCATTTTCTTTGCTTCCAAAATCATCAGCACTTTCTGACACTCGGGTCGGAGAGACTGAAATAGTTTTTCCACCCTCTAGGTCACTTCTACTCTGAGCAGAACTCTGTAAGCTTTCAGCGTTCATCGCACGTTTGCTTCCACTTCTCACCGCACCACCACCGGCATCCATATCGTCATCTCCGTCTTCCATGGGGTAGACTTCGAAACTGAACAAACTCTCGTCGAAAAAGTCGTCCTCAAACAATGAGATCTCCTCGTCAAACGAGTCATCGGGACAAAACGAATCACAGACGTCTGCTTCACCGAGGAGGTTCGGACTTGTCAAAGAGCGGCTCCTCGAAGTACCACAGTCTCCTCTTGCGCTTCCCTCACGACGCTGACTTCCAGACGCACCGACGCTCTCACGCACCACGCCGCACGATGACCGAGCCTCTGCGTTTCCAACAGGCTCAGGGTGACCGACGTGTTGGACCAACTGCCCAAATATCCTCCGCACAAACTGACCTGAGAATTAATGAAAGCAAACAATTTTTAAACACTGACCAGAAAAGTAAGAAAGCAAATCTAAGAAATAAAAAAACTGACCTCAGAATAAAGAAAGCAAATTTAAAAAATAAAAAAACTGACCTCAAAATAAAGAAAGCAAATCTAAAAAAATTTTTTTAACTGACCTGAGAATTTAAAAAAGCACAATGTTTCACAAAATGAACTGAGAAACTAGAAAAAAAAAAAAGAAAAATTTTGCGACTTCTCAATTGCCAAAAAGATTAACCCCACTAAGTATCAAAACCAAGGAGTTCTCTCTTTGACAGAGTAGGAGATTGATCACAAATATTCAACAATGTTATGAACATATTGTCCGTGTCACAAGCAATTCATTTAAGTCGTATTGGGTACTTTTTACACTCAAGACCCAAAAGTAGCAGTAGAAAGGCAGTTGAACAAGTCAGGAGCCCAGAGGAGGCAGGGAGGGGGGGGGGGGGGGGGCTCATGTCAAATAATATTCAAGACTGTATTTATGTAGAGCATATCCACACTCTACAGCAAGCTCTGGGTACTTTACAACTGTTATCATTTCTTATGTGTACAACAAACGAAGGAGAGGGGAGGGTGAGTGAGAGAGTGTGAGAGAGAGAGAGAGAGACAGAGATAGAGACAGACAGACAGACAGACAGACAGACAGAGAGAGAGAGAGAGAGAGAGAGAGAGAGAGAGAGAGAGAGATGGAGAGAGAGAAAGAGAGAGAGAGGGAGAGAGAGAGAGAGAGAAAGCGATTTAGAAAGAGAGAAAGAAAAAAAAGAGAGGGAAATAGAAAGAGAGATTTTAATGAAACAACCGACCAATTGACAGAGTCCTATACTATAAAGAGACTCTTCTAAGATATAAGCAGCTATGACCAAGACCCACCTGCTTGAACATTGTCCTGAAACACCGCCTGGTCCAGCTGAAAGATCAGGTGACGACTGAACTTGCTTTTTGTGCTGAAAAAAAAACAACAACCCACCCCCCAAAAAAACACATGATGATAAAAGTAGTCAAAACTTTATGAATTAGCTTTATATAGTAAGAGCTCTCCGGCACTTGGAACACAATTAATGACCGACGCTGCGTCTGGTCAATTTGTCCAGCACATAACATAAAACAACAATTGCACCGAGGATGTAACCGATATTTTTCTCTGCCTTTTTTTTTTTTTTCTAGTACAGGTTTTACGGCGCTCGCAACTGCATAAGGTCATGTGAGCGCCAGAAGATTAGAGGTGTTACAAGAGAGTAACAAACATAAAAAAGAAGAAGGGGATAAAAGGACGATAGATATTTCATAGGAAAGAAGAAGCAAACCACACCAGAGCACCCGCCAACCACCCACTTTTCACTCTGTTGCGTTGTTGTCTTGTGCCACTTGTTGCAACGTGAGCATGCCTTTGTTAGCGCTACATCTATCTCTTCCATAATCCAACAGCTACTGGAACAATTAGTACGGATACCTTGCGGGCTTTGGTGCTGATAGGAACTGAGCACTTATGGACCTGTCCGGTGTGCAATGACGTTGTTGCCCAGGACAGGTACAACAGGTAAAAACCATCTCTTCCATCTTGATTCCCATAACCCCTAGCGTGCGATTTTTTTTTGGGGGGGGGGGAGTGTAAGTGTTTTACAGCGCTTGCACTGCATAAGGTCAAATGACTGTGCGAGACACATTAAACATTTTCAGTGGGCAGGAAATTTTGAATTTTGTCCTGGTGACGGTCGAAGCCTACTCTTATCGATTTTGAACCACTAAGGGATCTTTAACATTGCGCAACTTGCTCACAGGAACTCTCACATTTTTCGCCCTTATCAGAGAAGGCTAGGTGTTAAATCTTACGAAAAACAGCAGTAAGAAGAAGCCAAGGAGTAGCAATAGACAGGCTGCAGAAAGAGTCAGGAGCCCAGAGGAAGGGGCAGAAGATGTGAGTGGTGGGGGCAGAAAGAGGAGACGATAGAACATAGAGAGCAGGAAAAGAGATGAAAGGAGAACATTTTAGAGAATAAACTTTCCTGTAGTGGTCCCTGGACCTTTTGAATGAGAGGTGAACACCGTAACCTCTCGACCACAAAAGAGCCCCTAGCCTACCACGATCTTCTTCTCCTGCCTGCTCCCAGGTCCTGAAGTAAAAAAAAGTAAAAACCCCAACAACAAAGACGTGAGAACAAAACAGGAACAAACACAGTCGGAAAACCTGGTCGTTCATTAATGTCACCAAACAAATCCAGCCCCCAAAAACATCATCATCATTGCCTTTCTCACCCTTCACCAGGGTATAGGCCACGGACAAACACTTTCTCACCCTTCACCAGGGTATAGGCCACGGACAAACACTTCCTCACCCTGCACCAGGGTATAGGCCACGGACAAACACTTCCTCACCCTGCACCAGGGTATAGGCCACGGACAAACACTTTCTCACCCTGCACCAGGGTATAGGCCACGGACAAACACTTTCTCACCCTTCACCAGGTTATAGGCCACGGACAAACACTTTCCAACTTTCTCTATCCCGGGCTAGCCTCTTGATGCTATACCCTGTCTTCCCACTTTTCAGGCCCTAAAAACGGTAGGACAAAATTGCACACATACCTAGCATCAAGGTCAAGGACATCATCCCGGCCACACGACACACCGAAGGTGAGATACAGCCACGCAGACACGTACTGTGGAAAAAGCAAAATGGGAGTAAAAATGGTGCCATGCACGGTCAAAGCATCGCACCTCCTGAGTATTATAAAGAGAAAAACCACAGGGACATAGATTAAAATTTGTGAAGCGTTCTGACAAAAGGAGTTACTTCTCGGATTCAAGCCTTAAGGAAATAAATACATTGCACTAAAAGGTGAAATTTTTACCGGTTTTAATTAAAGAATATGGCATCAATGGAAAAATCTACAAATTTTACCGTCATGTTGATTTTGGCCAGTATCTCTATAATTTGTGGATTGTGAGAAGTAACTCATTTTGTCAGCACGCCTCACATTTGTGTCCTGACGTGGTGGAATCAGACGCTCGTCAATTTTTGGACAAGTAGAGTTATTGGTATCATTTTTCGCAAGAAAATGGTCACAAAGGTTTGGTTATTTCCATAGCTTGATAGTCTGTGGAAACTAAAAACTTACATTTTTTGTGCCTTTAATCAACATTTTAAAAGTATAACCCACCCAGAAACGTGTTCTTAATTGGACGACAGTAGTGTTAAGCCAAAAATTTTTAAAAAATATTGGATAAAAATTGCCAAACTGGCAGAAAAATGACAGCTTTTACCAGTTCATTATTTTGACGAACGCCTGATTTCACTACGCTGCCTCACATTTAAGTCACCAGAGAGTTACAGAGCACTAATAATAATAATAAATAGCATTTATACTGCCCATTTCCATTTTCTAAAAAAATGCTTGATGCGCATTACAGCGAAAAAGACGACATCACATCTTAAAAAATAATTGAGATGCGTGTACGTAAAATGCAGTATTATGATATATAATATCTATGTATATGTGTACAAATTTCTATGAGTGAAGTTGAAAATGCGTTCAAAGTAGGTGGTTGACGGGAGCTCTGGTGTGGTTTGCTTCTTCTTTCCTATCAAACATCTATCGTACTTATCTCCCCTCCTTTTTTATGTTTGTTACTCTCTTGTAACACCTCTAATCTTCTGGCGCTCATATGACCTTATGCAGTTGTGAGCACCGTAAAACCTCTACTAAAACAAACAAACAAGCGTTCACTAAAAATATACAAAAATGCAATAAAAATTCACTGACCTGGATGAGTACATCAACCATCCTCGGCCCGTCAGCCCGGGGGTTGTAGTCCACCATAAACTCCAGGTCGAAGTACAACTTGCAAGGATTGCCTGCAGGGTTAAGTGAGTGAAACGCTCATATGGCCTTTTCTTTAGGCAGTTGGGAGCACCGTAAAACCTCTACTAAACAAAAAACAACTAAAGTACCGTAAGTGAAAACTGCCCAAAAAGAGTTGCCAAAATTTTTCTTTAAGTGGGCAAAAAAAAAAAAAAAAGTACAGTCAAAACTGTCTAAGACATCCACCCATCTCCTGTCCAGGAAAAAAGTGACCATCTTACACGATACCCGTCTGCTGGGACATTTCAGTAACCCACTTTCAGCATTTTTTAAGGACCCCCGGGCGAATGTTGAGTTCCTGCTTGCTGTCAGCATCGCTGACCGTTTATGAAGCCACAGCGCCAGAATAGAGAGAGAGAGAGAGAGAGATCTTACACGATGTCATTATAATGTAAAAATACGAAAGGGAGAAATGGGAAGTTGCTATTTGTACAGCGTACAGCTGATTGTCTTATACAGGTGGCTGTTAATGCAGGTTTGGCTGTATGTGATAACAAAAAATTATTTTAAAAAATAAAAACCTTAAAAAAAAAAAGAAAACCTGTAAAAAATACCTACATTGAAACTGAAAAAAACAAAGAAAGGGAAACAGATACTAGGAAGAGAGGAGGAGGTCTAGGGTCTAACTAATGTGTTTTTAGACAGATACTAAAGGTTCTGAGCACAAAAACAAACCCCCAAAAACAATAAAAATTGCCTAAAAGGCAGAAAAAAGCCAGTTTCTTCGATTTTTATTCTTTTTGACGAACGCCTAATTTCCCCATGATGCGACTCAAATCTTGGTTACCTTCAGGAATAATTTCATAATGATGTCTCTGGTCTGGGGCCAGTTGTCTGGAAAAGGAAAAGTTGACATTGTTTTAGCAAGGGTTTTACGGCACTTGCAACACAATAAGGTCATCATATAAGTGCCGAAGATTAGAGGTGTTACAAGAGAGTAACAAACACAAAAAAAGAAGGAGGGGAGATAAAGACGACAGATGTTTGATAGGAAAGAAGAAGCAAACCACACCAGAGCACCCGCTTACCACCCACAAACATTGACAAACTCATAAAACTGTCAGCTTACACATATACAGATCTGCAGTGAGCCGAGAGTCTTAAGGCCATTCCCAAAGGGGGGATATTAACATGTTTTTATGCATAGCAGAATTATAAATGGGCTGATTTATCAATGTCATGCTCATACTGTGCCGGAACAACATAGGGGAAACACCCATAACACATCACACAGACCAACACACTTGTAACACATCTACACTCGAAACACAACACACCCGTAACACATCACACAGACCAACACACTAGTTCCCCTCACCGGTAGTAGAGCAAGAAGACCAGACACACCCGTAGCACACCTACACCCATAACACAACACACAGACATGCACATCAACTCATGTAACACAACACACAGACATGCACATCTACACCCATAACACAACACACAGACAAGCACACCTACACCCATAACACAACACACAGACAAGCACACCTACACCCATAACACAACACACAGACAAGCACACCTACACCCATAACACAACACACAGACAAGCACACCTACACCCA